TATTGGAATTGGAACAGGTTCAGAAAAGGGCAACAAAAATGATTAGGGGTATGGAATGGCTGCCGTATGAGGAGAGATTAATAGACTGGGACTTTTCAGCTTGGAAAAGAGATGACTAAGGGGGGATATGATAAAAGTTTATAGGCATCATGACTGGTGTGAAAAAGTAAATAAGGAAGTGTTATTTACTCATAACAGAAGAACTAGGGATCACCAAATGAAATTAATAGGCAGCAGATTTAAAACAAATAAAAGGAAGTATTTTCTCACACAACGCACAGTCAACCTGTGGAACTCCTTGCCAGAGGATGTTGTGAAGGCCAAGACTATAACAGGGTTAAAAAACAACTAGATAAATTCATGGAGGATAGGTCCATCAATGGCTATTAGCCAGGATGGGCAGGGATGGTCTCCTGTAAAACTGTGACATACCAGGATACAATCCAGACTAATGAGCAGCTGTGTCACCCCTGCCCTCAAACCCTGGGTGCCTTACAATGACTTGATGAAATAGATCCCACCTAGGCCACTCACAAATAGCCTTCCAGCATGAAAGACTCACCCTGAGTGTGTGTAACTGTAGCCTGCCAGCCACACTTGGGATTTCACTCTGCCTCTCCCCAACCTTGGTTATACTGCACGGTAACCCCCCAACACACTCCCAGTCCCAGATTTCCCCCAGAAATGTATGTCCTGTACTGCCCAGCCCTCTCCTGGACAGCACACAATATTTGAAACCAATAAACCTTTAAGAGAATAATCTGTCAGTTTATTATTTCAAATAGCGATTCAGAAACTTCAGTTTAAATACACTGGCTTATATAAAACAGAAAAGAAGTTTAATAACCACAAAGAAGGATTTTATGAGAGTACAGGAAATGAGGCATAAAAGTCATAAATGGTTTCAAGAAAAATAAAGATAAAATGCTTACTAACATATTCCTAAGAAATTATCTCAGTTTCAAAGCAGATTTTTCTCAGCAGATGCTTCAGTAGTCTTACTGACCAAACTCTTTTGGTCAGGACCCCTCCATCAAAGCTCAATGGTGGTGTCATTTTGTCATCTCAGATGCAGAGAATGCAATGGGTAGGAGAAGCAAGGGATGTTTGGGGGGTATCTGACCCTTCTTTTTATAGCCCTGTCCCCACTTTGAGAAGCATTTCCAGCTGGGAGCAAGGCTACAGGCAATCTATGTGGAAGGGAACTCCATACTGGTTTTTTTGCCCCTGCCACCTTTCCTGCCAAAGAATGGGCACTTAGCAGGTAATGGTCCATCAGCCTTCTTTACACCTGGCTGAGGCATCAACTGCCCTTTGTCTCTGAGGAACTGTTTTTGACCACTCCCCAGATTTATCTGGGTAGCTTTCACGGAGTCCCCGGGCGATGATCTGGAACTGCTCCCCACAAAGCCAGTCAGGACTTTGGGGAGCCTCCTCTCCCTCGGAGCAGACCGTCTTCAGGGCAAGAAGCTCACACGGCTTCACCTCCTGGGTCTCTCCTGGGAGCATTCAGCATATGCCCCTCCGTGCGCTTCCCACAGCGAGTCCACCCAGGCGGGGTCCTGGGGAAGCCAAAGGGTTCTGCACCCCCCACTTCGCATTCAGACGTGACTCTTGGCCAGCCAGTAAAACAGAGGTTTATTAGATGACAGGAACACGGTCTAAAACAGAGCTTGTAGGTCTAGCGAACGGGACCCCTCCGCCGGGTCCATTCTGGGGCCCAGCGAGGCAGACCCCGTCTGCCCTCCCTTCCAGTCCCCAGCTAGCTCCAAACTCCCGTCCAGCCCCTCCTTCTCTGGGCTTTGTCTCTTTCCCAGGCCAGGAGGTCACCTGATCCCTTTGTCTCCAACACCTTCAGTTGGCATCTTTGCAGAGGAGGGGCCCAGGCCATCAGTTGCTAGGAGACAGAGTGTCGGGCATTTATGTACATTGGCCCTTTGCTCTGCAGCAACCATACACCCTTATCCCACCACCTAGATACTTAAGAACTGCATAGGGGAAACTGAGGAAAACATTAAGTACAGTCCCACTTCGTCACAGTAGCATTCTATTAGGCACGATTTCAGCTTGTTTTTATTACTTCACATATAACACTGATCTGTGTATTTTGCCATGATATTGTTGATTAGCAAATGATGAATTTTAAATGGTATCCGAGAAGACATGCCTTGTACAAAAATTACTGCATTAATGTGTAGGGTGTGAACACAGGGGTATAGTCTGTCACAAGAGCCTGGGTCACAACTGCCTTGGGAAACAAATACATGGGCCTTTTGCCCAGTTCCTAGTCACTTATTGTGGAATTCTCTCCCCAGATCATCTGAGACAATATTGACCTTAAATAATTGAACAACACTGTGATTGTATTCAGTTATTTCAGTTAGTTTCACAATTTGGAGTGTGCTGTTGTTCATCTTTTCAGATGGGAGATATAAAAACAGTTAGTAACACGTCCAATAGCTTGCAGTATTATCTCCTGTTGACTGAACTGAACTTGAAGTTTCTCCATGTCATTATGGAAGGGGTAGGGGAAAAGCAAAAATAAAATACGAATTCCCCAATAAAATTCCCCCAAAAATCTAAGCTATAGTTTGGCAAATCAAACTAACATCCGGTTATATGACCAAATGACCCTCAAAAACAAACAAACAAACAAACAAAAAAACCATCACAGAGGTATACGATTCACATAACTAGAAATTAAGTTTCTAATTTCATAGAACTAGAAATTCCAGAGCAGGTTAAATGTGATGACTCAGAATCAAGACAAGAGATTCTCCCATTGCATTCTCCTCTGAGCCGTTCAAACCTGCTTCACTCATTACTATTGAATTTTATTTAGGGCTCTCAATTAATCACAGTTAACTCACACGATTAACTCAAAAAAATGAATCGCGATTAATCGCACTGTTA